TAGCTTCCTTATTTTTCTTAGACCCTGATATATAGACACATTGAGAATAAATTCTTAGAAGCTTGTGACTTATTTCTAACGGAATTTTGGGAGTTGTAATTATGTGAATTGCGGATTTATTTTTTTCATATTCCAATTGTTATTCCGCATTGATAGACTTACCTAATCTTAGAGACTAGGTGCCATCACGACATCCTATAGAGGAAATTTGGGGTCGTGACACTTTGAGACAAGGTAAGTCTCTTGCCTAACCTTGTAAAAGGAAATTTACCCCATAGGTGATTTAAATTGTTATTTGTTGCTAATTAGTTGTTATTTACCCCATAGATAACAACTTTCTTCGAATATTTTCAGAATCCGGGCATGTGGGCCCAGGGGCGAATTTTAAGAATCTTCCAATTTGGTTGGGTAACTACTCTAATAGCTAAATCATTAACTTTTGAGCGTATATTGATTAATTTATATAACATTTGACTAGTTTCGAGTCATTGGGCACCAAGTTGAGGCTTTAGAGCGAATTTGAGACCGAAAAGCGAGCTTTGAGACAAGGTAAGTCTCTTGCCTAACCTTGTAAGAGGGAATTTACCCCATATATGATTTAAATTGTTATTTATTGCTAATTATGGGGGACTACGTACGCATGAGGTGACGAGAGTCCGTGCGTAGTGACTATTTATGCTTATATGAGAACTTGATAAAGGAATTGTAAAATGCCAAATTTCACTTACTTGAGTTTTTGGCGGGTCACTTGACTGTTAGTAGGAATTTGTGCTCCTTTGCATATTAGCCTTGTAATAACTCTTTAAATAGGATGTTCATAAAGTATCCTCTCTTCTATGGAGCAGTCCGAACACCTCGGTAGTAGATAAATGCATCTATGATTCGTGCCGCACGATCCTCGACAGTGTACACGTTATTCTGGATCGGGCCGTACGACCTCGGCATAATCGTGTGTGTTAATACTTAGAGTTTGATTATATTTGGTATTTCTTTTATGGCTTGAGAGGTTAAAAATTATATAAGACAGAAATTGATCTGGGATGTATCATTTGTGAAAGGATTCTTATTTTTCTTTTTGTTATTAAGTTATTATTATTATTTACATAACTCATGCTTATCTAGAACTTTTGTATTTCTTCATTGTTAGCCTATAGTAAGTGTCGATGTCGACCCCTCGTTACTACTTCTTTGAAGTTAGACCTGATACTTAATGGGTACATATTGTTTATGTACTCACGCTACACTTCTTCACTAACCGTGCAGGATCTGAAACAGGCGCATCTGACGATCACACCGGCGCGCATCCCTGATAACCTGAGGCCTAGTGGTGAACTGCTTCCTGGGCCGTTCTGTAGTACCTAGAGCCTTTACTTTGTACTTATTTTATGTCTGTGTTATTTCAGACGGTAGTTAGAGTTTTTTATGTTCTACTAGTGCTCATACACTTGTGACACCAGATCTTGGCATAAACTCTAGTAGACTTTAAGGTATTGGAGTATTTATATATCTATCATTACACTAAATGGTTTTCGTTTTATTTATTAAACTTCCTACCCCATAAATCTCTTAATAAATAGAATTTAATTACTTGAAAACCTATTAAAAGAAGTAATCACGTAGTTATTTCATCGTTGTCTTGCCTAGCGGCAATGTTGGGCGCCATCACGGTTTATAGGAGAAATTGGGTCGTGACAGAAACCCTGCTTCTGCCATGCACCAAATTCCATTTCGATCCGTTAACCATCCGAAATCAACCCGAGGCCCCCGGGACCTAAACCAAACATACCAACAAGTCCTAAAACCTCATACGAACTTAGTTGAGCCCTCAAATCACCTTAAACTACGTCAAAAACACGCATCACACCCCAATTCAAAGCCTATTGAAGCTAAGGAATTCCAATTTCCACAAACGACGCCGAAACCTATCAAATCAAGTTCGATTGACCCCAAATTTTGTACACAAGTCACATTTGACATTACAGACCTATTCCACCTTCCGGAATCGGAATCCGACCCCGATATCAAAAAGTCCACTCCCGGTCAAACTTTTTAGAAATCCAACTTTCGCCATTTCAAGCCTAATTCCATTACGGACCTCCAAATCACAATCCGGATACGCTACTAAGTCCAAAATCACCCAACAGAGCTAACGGAACCGTCGAATCTCCATTCCGGAGTCGTTTACTCATAGGTCAACATCCAGTCAACCATTTTAACTTAAGATTTCAACAATGAGACTAAGTGTCTTATTTTGTTCCAAAACCCCACCGGACCCGAACCGACTACCCCGGTAAGTCACATAACAGCTATAAAGTACAAAATAAGCAGTAAATGAGGGGACATGGCTGCAACTCTCAAAACGACCGGCCGGGTCCTTACAGTATTACATTTAGGATTTATAATGTTAAGGACATAATAGGCTTTTCAAGTAAAAATATTATAAAATCTGGCCAAGGTTACCTTCGTGAGAAATAAAGCAAAGTAAAATAATTTTTGTGTAACAAAAGAAAGAAAAGTGACTTTTGGGTAATGAACACAAAGTAATGATTTTTATGTAACAAAAATAAGAAAAGTGACTTTTGCGCAATAAATACAAAGTTGAATGATCGCCCATGAAATTTAGTCAATAATCAAACATGGTATTTATATCACTTGTTACACCAAAATATAGAAAAAATAAACTTCTTGACTTAAGGTATATTTTCTTTTCCCATAAATTTTTATGAGGTGTCTTTTCAAATTGGCCACCAGATAAATGCATGGATTAAAATAACTTGATTTTCAGCTTCACGTCAACTTCATTTATACTCGAATATTTTTTTTCCCTTAATTTGTCTTTCAGAGTATCATTATGTATTTATTCAAGAGATAATTTTTTTCACTTTCTTTTCTATCCAAAACATAAGGTTGTGCATCAATTAGTCAAACACATAAAAAGTCTCTCCACTCTTGCCCTCCAGTCTCCAGAAAAGCTTTAGTTTGTATAATGAAGAAACTTCACAAAAGAAGCAGATGAGAGAAAATTAAAAGGTAGTTTTACATCCATATATATGTTTTTCATATTTAGACTATCCTCAAATTCTATGTCAACCCAATTTTGATCAATATATTTATTTGTCGCGAGCCTTATCCAATATACCAGATGAATGGCAACCTGATCAAATCAATGGCATTCTGATCAAACTAAAGAATAATTTTTTTTTTCTGTCTTTGCAATGATTTTTCTAACATTTTTAGGATAGACTATCTTCTATTTATTTGTGGCGCGCCTGATCCAATAAATCAGACCAATGGCAGCCTTATTTAACTAAAGAATATTTTTCTTTGCGTCTTTGTAATGGTTCAAAAAATAGAAGTACGATCATCAATTAGAAATTAAAAAATTTCACCCTAAATATTGAAAAAAACACGATTAAAGAGCAAGAAAGACCAACATGTAAAGAATTAGAAGCATACACTTGAGGAATAAGACTGAAAAAAATACTTGAGGAAATAGCTAAACGTATATATAGTAAACATAATTAGTTCCAGTAAAAAGACGCCTATTTATAATATGTGATCAAAACATAAAATTAAATTTGTTGTACCCTGAAGTACGATAAATGATTGCCCAGGATATAAAACCTCATTGCTCCTTCAATGTATTTCGTATTTTGCAATTTTTCTGCTTTCATCGTGAAGTAAATTAAGTGCTTACAAAACGGAACAAACAAATTTGAAAAACCTCCACGTCAAGAACAAAGGGAAAAAAAAAACTAAATTTGAAATAAAAAGTTTAGAAGAAAGAGAAGACAAAACTTGAAAAAAGAAGAAGAATAAAACGGGTATAACGAATCATGGCATCTCTTTGCAGACGTTTTTCTCTCTCTTTTGTAAGCGTCGTTTCTTTGAAGTCGTTGTTTTCTTTTTGGCATCTTTATGTAGCTTTCTCTTTGATTTTTTTTTAATTTAATAGTATATTATAATAAGAAGGCTAAAAAAGAAATTTAACTTCTCAATTAAGAGGTTCCTATTTTTAATATAGTATATACACATAGAGAGATAGATATAGATCTTAAGTGTATATTGAGCTCCCTTTAATTTTGCTTTTTTGGAGCAATAGCACAAACAAAGTAACTTATTATATGGAAATCTAATAAAACTGGAGTTGTAGAGTCTGAAGAGCAGGAGAGCACACCTTAGCAATTTGAGATTATTTACATTTGCCGTTGAATGGTAGTGTAATTTGAAACATATTATTGATTAAATTTCTCTTTTTTCGTTTGTGTAATTAATTTATTTTGATAATATAAATCTTGATCTTTTTCATATCAATTAAACTTGTAAAATGAGTTGTTCGACTGTACGAAACGCGGGCAAATTAACTAGTATTTAAAATAATTAATTGGTATCTTTTGCACTTCAAAAATAATTTCCAAGCTTTTGCTAGATTGATTGAGTCACGAAAGAGTTTCTTTCCCCAATCACAACGCAAAAGGTTATTGTCTAACTGTTACTTGAAAATGAATTCAGGCTTGAAAATGAAGCTGAAGATCTAGTGAACTGTTACTTGATTCGTGGGCATCATTAGGCAAAAAAAAGGTAATTTTTTTAATCAATTGTGAGAATAATTATGTTTGTTCCCTTGATTGTCATATCTGAATTGTTCTCCGTGATTCGAGGACTTAAATGATATATTTCTCGAACGTAGGATGATGCGGACCTCCTTATAATATATTTGATCTCAAAGAAAATCGTGCAATACTCCGAGTCGATATCACGAGGAACGTACGACTTCTCTTGATATCTCCTACTTGTTTCCTTAATCGAGGGAAACAATCGAGGGCTAAATGCTGATTTTCTTGAATTATTTGATTGTTGAAAATGTCTAACCGCATTTTGAGTTGATCTTGATGAAGAACGTCTCTTGATTACGTACGGCAATATTTGAAGTCTTGATCTATTTGTGAATATCCCAACAGTTTATGGGATTTTTCGAGGTAAGCATACTCTATTCATGTGCCTAAATTACAGTATAACTACTTTCAATATATAGCAAATTGATTTTGTTTAAATCATCTCTCATTGTTTTTTTTATTTGAAGCAAGTTATTTTATACTGCAAAAGTTAAGTACAAAAACAATAGAAACATAACTCACATGACTATCTTAGGAATGATCTAGCATCAGTCCAACAAATATTTTTAATATTTCACCGCTACCTTAGATACTGAAAAGCAATATCACGGGTATTGATAGCCAGATATTTGCAAACACTAAAACGTGAATAAGCAGCAGTATTATTTATGAGCAAATGGAGCCTACTCGAATTATTTGGTCACCAATAATATATGTGTCAAAAAACCTAATTGGGGCCTCCTATTTGTTTATGATTATTGTACACTCTCATCAGTCCAACAAGAGTGTCTGAATCATGTTTAAGCTTGACAATATGATTTTATAATAGCTTAACCTTTCTATGTAAGCTCATAATATGCTTCAAGCAAAGCTCAATAACAATAGATTCTGAGTCATACATATTCCTAGTGAAGTGACCATGAAATCGCATGTTGCTCTAATCCTGCTCTTTTCACTTGCCCTGGTAAGTTTTCGCAGATGATTAATTCTAGGCCTCCTTTTTGGTGGTTTATTATTAATTACTTTTTTGGTGCACTATCTTGCACTTCTTTCTCATTTGCCTTGCCTTTCGAATTACAATGTCTTTTCAAATCCGATTTTAACAATTGAATTATTTAAGTTATACTCTATCTCTTTTAATTTATGTAAACCTATTTGACTGAGTATAGAGGTTTTCAAAAACTATTTAAACAAACCATTCATTTGTCTTGGCGTATCCCCATCGAACATGTGTAATTAAGAATAGATATTTTCTGCAAATTCCTCTTCAAAATGCACTAGAATTTTACATAGAACTCTATCTGTCAATACTAAATATTTACATACTCGGTACTTACAAAGGTAGATCTAATATTAGAATTATGTGGGTTCTTTATTTTAGGACGATCTCAACTTTTAATAACTGAGTTCTGAATTTAATTTATGTATACACTTAGTGAATTTCTTGATACGTACATAGAATTTTGGCAAACATTACTGGGTTCTGCCAAACCCATATATTAAAGCCTACATTTGCCTCTGCATGTACCAAATATTTGCGCATATCAGTATATATAGATTATGTACTCGAACGTAAAGAAGTTCATATAGCATATATTCAAAAATCTTTTTATGGTCTCTTTTTCTCGGGCAGTACACAAGCAGCATTGATGCAAGAAAAGACCCTGGAGAATACTGGAGAGATGTGATGAAAGATGAGCCAATGCTTGAAGCAATCAAACATCTTATGCCTCGGCATTCAGTTCCTCTCTCCAAAGAGAAAACTGATTGTTACACATTATCTTCCGTTGGAGGTGAAGCCTTTGAACCAAGGCCTAATTTATCTGTCTACCACGACGACGCCAAGCTGAACGAAGCTGAGAAATCATTATTTACGAAAGATTTCGAGCCAAGGCCTAGTGCAACTGGTTATCATGATGATGGCGTCGGTCTTAAATAAGAAAACTCATTTGCCAAAGATTTTGAGCCTAGGCCAAACAATTCTGTGTACCATGATTGATATTGGTTATAATGAGTACTATTTGTCTTCCTGCATTTGGGAATTTAGAATTTATATTTTGTATGCCTCCCAGTGTTAAGTGATTTATGAAATAAAGATTTGTAACCATACTTTGATGGTTGTATTGAAGTATTTCTTAACTTTATTATGTGTTCTAAGCAATGATCGATATGCTCGACTTCCTTTTAGTTGGTTTGTTTACAACATTTTGTGGGGCTAATATGAATGGTTACTCAATTTTTACTTTATTACTCAAAGTTATTATTTTTTATACTAAAAAATCACTCAACTTTACTTAAATATGACGAATATAAAAGAACTATTTTCTGTAACCAAAAAGCAACTCAACTCTTCCGAGGTATCACATAAAGTCACTAGGAGAAAATAAATGTGACATCATCTATGATTTCCTTTTGGTTAAAAAAATATTTTTTTTGTGATTTTCTATGATGCTTAGGTAGAGTGAGTGATTGTTTTTGTTACAACAAATGGTTTAGTGACTTTCTATGATACTTAGATAAAATTGAGTAATTTGTTTTTACCTTCTTATACTGTATATGAAACTTTATTACCCTACCTAATTAAGTTTTAACCTAATTACAAGATCATATACAATTTATCAATTATATACAAATAAGTTTTAAATGAATATCTCTTTATATTAAAAATTAAATAAGGAATATCAGTTATTTTTCCATCCCTTTATATCCGCCCTCTCTCTCTCTTCGTTTGTCATGACCCCAATTTACTTATGTAGGATGTCATGATGGCACCTAGTCTCTAAGACTAGGTAAGCCTAACATGTTGCACAAATTTAAATCAAGGGAAGCAGGTAATTCAACTAAGCATGTTGCACAAATTTGCAAGTAAGGGTTAAGGCACGTAGACATGCGATACTAGGATAAATATGATTACTACATATGCTAAGGTAACTGAATTAAGGAATTTAAAAGAAGACAACTCAGCAAGAACCAAAATTTTCACAATTATCCCGTGTTTGCACTCGTCACCTCACGTATACAGCGCTCACATATCATAAAGTATTACAACAGTACCAAATCTTAAGGGGATTCCCCCCTCCCCCAAAGTTAGACAAGTCACTTACATAAAATCTCGTTCAATCAATCGGTAAGAATGCCTTTCCCTCGATTTTCCGACTCCGAATGGCCCAAATCTAGCCACAATAATTACATATCATGAATACAACTATAAGAAACTAATTTAAATAATGAAACTACGACTTTAGCAAAGAATCGAAAATTCGGCCCAGAATATCGACCTGTGCCCACGTCTCAGATTCGGATAAAAGTCATAAATTACGAACACTCATTCGATATCGAGTTCACCCATATCAAAATCACCAAATTCCAACACCATGTCGCCACTCAAATCTCCAAATTTAACTCTCTAAATCCCTAGCCTCAAACTCCCACATTTCACCTTAAACACACACAATCTAGGTGAAAAAATTAATGGGGAAACAAGATTATTGATCAAAAATAAGTACAAGAGACTTACCTCCAGAAATCTCTCAAAAATGCTCTCAAAAAATGCCAAGACCCGAGCTCAAAATGTTTAAAATGACCAAAATCGCGAACCCTTGCATTTAAGTGTTCTGTCCAGCATTTCTATTCTGCGGACACTTAGCCGCATCTGCGGCGTCGTAGAAGCGACAACTTACCCGCATCTGCTGTTTACTCGCTCCTGCGGTCTCCCTTTATCACCTGCGGAACTTCCGCTCCTACGGTCCTAAATCCGTTTCTGCGTACTAGCTTTTGTGAGACGAAGGCCGATTCTATTGAGCCCCTCATGTCAGATCCCTTCCGCTTCTGCGCTGCCTCCTTCGCATCTGCGATCTTGCAGATGCGGAACTTCCCTCGCATCTGCGACCTCTCCCCACACTGTTCCAGACTGCTTCTGTGCCCAAATTCCCACTTCTGCGGGCTCGCACCTACGGTCAATCTTGCGCAGGTGCGATTACACCAGAGCTGGTGCCTTCAGCCATCTTCCAAGTCCAAATTCGATCTGTTAACTATCCGAAATCCACCCGAGGCCCCCGGGACCTCAACCAAACATACCAACCAGTCCTAAAATATTATAAGGACTTAGTCGAGCCTTTAAATCACATCAAACAATGATAAAAACACGAAGTGCGCATCGATTCAAGCTTATTGAACTTTAAAACTTCAAACTTCTACATCTGACGCCGAAACCTATCAAATCAAGTCCAATTGACCTCAAATTTTGCACACAAGTCATAATTGACATTACAGACCTATTCTAACTTGCAAAATCGGAATCCAACCCCGATATCAAAATGTTCACTCCCGGTCAAACTTCCCAAAAATTATCCCATTTTCCAATTTTTGCCAATTGACGCTAAAATGACCTACGGACCTCCAATTCAACATCTGAACATGCTCCTAAGACCAATATCACCCTACGGAACTATTGGAACCGTCGAAACTCTATTTCGGAGTTGTCTTCACACAATTCGAAATACGGTCAAATCATACGACTTAAACTCCCTTTTAAGGACTATGTGTCCCATTTCACTCTGAAAACAAAGACAAATCCTCCCGGCAGGTTATGTAACCACAAAATGAAATAGAGGGATAAATAAATAGGGGTTCAGGGATAATTCTCTCAAAATGACCGGACGGGTCGTTACATCCTCCCTCTCTTAAAATAAATGTACGTCCTCGAAAGAGTATAGAGACATGCCTGAAGTGGTGAACATATGAGGATAAGGGCTACACATATCACACTCGTTCTCCTAAGTAGCCTCCTCGGCCAGATGACTCGTCCACTGAACTTTCACTGAAGCAATGTTCTTTGACCTCAACTTTCGAACCTGCTTGTCCAAAATGGCCACTGACTCCTTAACATAGGATAGATCCTTGTCCAACTGGATTGAGCTGAAGTCTAACACATAAGACGGATTGCCGTGATACTTCCGGAGCATGGAAACATGGAATACTAGATGAAATGCAGAGAGAGTAGGTGGTAGTGCAATTCTGTAAGCCACCTCTCCAACCCTCTCAAGAATCTCAAAAGGCCTGATATACCTAGGGCTCAACTTGCTCTTCTTTCTGAACCTCATAACACCCTTCGTGGGCGAAACCCGGAGCAAGACAAGCTCCTCAACCATGAATGCGACGTCGCGAACCTTCCGATCCGCATAACTCTTCTGCCTCGACTGTGCTGTACGAAGTCGATCATGAATCAATTTGACCTTTTCCAAGGCATCCTGAACTAAGTCTGTACCCAATAGCCTAGCCTCATCCGGCTCGAACCAACCTACTAGAGACCGACACCGTCTACCATACAAAGCCTCGTACGATGCCATCTGAATGCTCGACTGATAACTGTTGTTGTAGGCAAACTCAACAAGTGGAAAGAACATATCCCAAGCATGGCCAAAATCAATCACACACACACGAAGCATATCCTCCAATATCTACATAGTGCGCTCGGACTGTCCGTCAGTCTGAGGGTGAAATGCTATACTCAACTCCACACGAGTACCCAACTCCTGTTGTACGACCCTACAGAACCGTGATATAAACTGCGTACCCGGGGTCAGAGATGATAGTTACTGGTACGCCATGAAGCCTGACAATTTAGCGAATGTAAACCTGAGCCAACTGCTCTGAAGATTAATTAGTAACCACAGGAATGAAATGAGCTGACTTGGTAAATCTATCCACAATCACCCAAACTGCATCGAACTTCCTATGAGTCCGTGGGAGCCCAACAACGAAATCCATAGTGATCCGCTCCCATTTCCACTATGGAATCTCTAACTTCCGAAGCAATCCACTCGGTCGTTGATGCTCATACTTCACCTGGTGAAAATTTAGGCAACGAGCAACATATTCCACTATGTCCTTCTTCATCCGCCTCCAACAATAGTGCTGCCTCAAATCCTGATACATCTTCGCGGCACCTGGATGAATGGAATACTACAAACTGTGAGCCTCCTAGAGAATCAACTCATGCAAACCATTTACATTAGGCACACATAGCCTGCCCTACATCCATAATACAGCATCATCTCCAATAGTGACTTCCTTAGTATCACCATGCTGAACCATGTCCTTAAGGACTAGCAGATGGGGGTCATCATACTGACGATCCCTAATACGATCATAAAGAGAAGACTGAGAAACCGCACAAGCCAGAACTCTACTCGGCTCGGAAATATCCAATCTAACAAACTGGTTGGCCAAGGCATGAACATCAAAGGCTAAAGGCCTCTCTGCTACTGGTAGATATGCTATACTTCCCAAACTCTCCGCCTTACGACTCAAGAGATCGGCCACTAATCTAGTCCAATTTCACTCCTCTATTTGAGGATATGGAAATGGTCGATGCAATAGTAATACCCAACAAGAGTCGGGGTCAAATTTCGCAGGGAGCTATGTGAATGGGTGTTAGTAGTATATATCTTAGCGCGTGCATTTGTATATCTAAATTTGCACTTCTGCAATAATTAATTTTGTTTGAAAATCTAAATTAAACTATGATTACGATTTAAAAAATGAAACTAGGAAAATATTTTTTGGTTTTTTTTCAAATGATATAAATGTCCTAGGGCTATGACCTTCACTAGGTATTTTCCTAATGGGTTGTAAACTTTAAAGCTTGTTTTATTAGTCGGGGTATATTGTAACTATCAACACTCAAGTACCCACTCACTACCTCTCGGTCAGAGAGTGGTTTTGCCCAATTTGGCTTCCTCAAGTCCAAATGGGTATTGAATAAAATAGTTGATAATAAGCTCAAGTCGGATTTTACTATCTCTAGGTTCAACCGTTTAATTGGGCTTATCAATCTCTAGATTGACCAATTTTTTGCTAGTCAAGTTTTCCTAGACTAAGTCTCTCTTTCTCAAGTAGAGATCAAGTCAAATATGTATGAAATAATATTTGCAACCATTAATTCTTCACATAAAAGCAAGAACTAGGCTAGATAATCAACACCCAACCATAAACAAGCAATAAATCAAACACCCATTAAGTCTACACACTAGTGTTGGGTCACAACCGTAGTAAAAACCTAGCTATTCATGCTTAAATTGGAAGAAAAAGAAGAACAAGTGATAATTAAACCCATATTGATAATTAAAATGACAAAATCAAT